TTTGGAGCTTGGCATCCTTTTGTGGAAGTGCTGAGAGAACAGCCATCTTTGCCATGAATGTTAGTCATCTTTCTCTTGAAGGTGATCACTGCCTGCTAGTCCTTCACACGCATGTTCTGGAGGGGCAGAGGTCAAAGGGGGATAAAAAAGCTATGCATTAGTCTGTTGTCTTTGTGGAGAGAGAGAGAGTGAGTAATCATAGTCCTAACCAAGGGTATGAGGTATAGGTTTTTTGTGTGCTTTTCAGCAAACATTTTCCTACCTTAGTGGGAACCATACAGGTGAAAGACAGCAAAACTTTCAGGCCCCAGGGCTTGGAAGAACCACTAGCAGCTGCAGACAGGTGGGTGCCCATCAAAGCCAGAGCAGCTGTGTGGCAGGAGATGGGCTGGGTGTCTGCACTCACTAAGCAGTGTCTGGTCCATCCATATGCAGACCCACAGTACCAAGGGCTGATCTTCTCATCCGCACTGCTCCTGAGACAAGGCTCCCAGCAGAGACCCTTTTGCCAGGTGGAAGGTGCTGATGTGAAGTGACACAGAGACTCAGCTCCTTGCTGGTTTCCTACTCTTAGGAGGTTTGGTCATATTCCTGACAGCCCCTGCTGTGACCTCACTCCGGTGCTTTCCCTTGAGTGGTATTTTTGTCTGGGGTTGAGCTCTGTCCTCAGATCTATGTGTACACTCCTGGAGCCTGCAGGTGCTGCCTTGTGCTACCCTGCTGTGAAACGCCCTTGTTTTCTCCAGGGTCATCTCTGCGGAAGATGAATCACCTTATTTTTTTTGTGAATAGTTCTAGTGATGACACGTGTGGGAGAGTACAGTCTTTGTTTTCCGCCCTTTGCCCAGCTGGTGTGAGCATGCAGAGTTAATTGAATTAAAAAAAAAAAAAGTGTTAAAAACTTATGCTTGTGTCTGAACAGTTCACAAGCTGCAGCTGCTCCAAGTGGGGTGTTTCTGATCCAGCCAAGCAGAAGTGCGTCTCTGTGTTTGTTCTGATGAACCCTTCTCTGAACAAGGTGTTTTTCAGATGTGTTATGAGCTAGAAAAGCAGACCAATCACCTATACTACAGTACTGTCAATCAAGCTTCATTCTTCTTGTGCCCAAAAGCGAGAGCCATGCAGAAGTACCCAGCAATTTATTGTTATTAATTTTGTTATAACCCTTTCAGTGTCCAGAATTCACCATCCCTCCTTTCGTTGGTAGCTTACTTGCCTGTATTCATAAAGGAGAGTATGGAATGTAGGATGTGATATCAGAGTCCAGTGGGAAGAGAACTACTGCCCTACTTCTCAGCCAGCCCTCCAGCTGGCACTGGCACAGCAAGATCCTTTGTCATCTTCAAGATGATGAGACTCAGGATGCTTCAGCTGATTTATAAGGAGTTGTGGATATATGATGTGAGCTTAATTCATAATGGGATTGAGCTGAAAGCACTAATGCTGTTTTACTGCAGATCTGATATTAACATTCACACCATGTCTGATGGATAGTGCAGAAGAACCAAAGCAGATTTTCTAGTGGCCTGGTAGCAGTCCATCTGGCTCAGCCTGATGAAATTATTGCTGCAATTTAGTAATCTAGGCACAGGCAAATCCATCCATGAGCATGGATATGTAAAAACACTAAAAAAAAAGAATAGCATTTTGTATATGTTAAAAAAATAAAACAAAGAGGGAAAATTGGTCTCAGGTAGGTAGGTAGGTAGGAAAACAGAATTTTGCAACACCTGCATAGTGACTTTGCAAGACCTCATTTTCTCCTGCAGCAAAATAAAGGTACTTCCTTACTTCATGGAGTAAGTTCTTCACATTTTTGAAGGAGTTTGGAGTGACTACATATAATACACTGCAAAGATGCAAAATGTTAGAGTACAAAATGAATTCTAGAAGCCCCAAATTCAGCCCAAATCTGTTAACTCAAGCCACAACTGCCTTTCAACCACGAGTAAAGAGCTGTAAAAAGTGCTATATTATGGGCATTGAAAGATTGCATGTAAACTGAATTTCATTGTTGATCCTACTTGCCAATATTTTAGGATTTATGTCCCATCATGCAGAATATTTGCTTCACCTTTGCTTTATGGCAGTGAAGGGTTGCTCACAGGCTTTGAATTATGACGGAATTAGAATATCTTCCATGGCAGAAAGCCCTTAAATATACCCTTAAATATTTGAGTTTTATGTGGAGATGCTTTTGAAGGCTGGATTTAGGTGCCCACATCTCCTTTCTCTCAAACATGTGTCCTCTTTTTCTGTACTGGAAGTCTTAATGTGCAGATTTTCATCAGTACTCCAATGTACCTAGATTTCTGAAATCCCTACCAGACCTGGGGCTTAACAGCCGTGGAGAGAGCCAAGTGAGGAGGTTTCTTGGTTGGCTGCAAAGAGCTGTGGGAGAGATTTGAGCAATGGCAGCCAAGAGACAGAGTGGGAGGAGGCAAGCAGTGCCATGGGCTCTGCAAGCCAGAGCGGGAAGCCCAGGTTGAGAGCTTGAGATGGAGATGAGAAGGGTGGTCTCCAGAGGAGGACTGGGAAAGAAATGGAAAGGCTGAACTTCTGGTGCGGTCATGAGAAAGCTCTGGGAGAAGGACATGGGGGATGTGAGGAGGTCGTCGTCAGGGAGGTCAGAGTTCCACTGTGCCTCCTGCCCCATTGAAACCAGGCAACCATGATGCTGTCAAGGGATTGAGTTGCCTGTCCTGGAGAACCACCGCTGTCACACTCATCCTGCCATAAATACACCAGTCTCTTTGTGAGGTACATGTCCAAAAATACCAACAATGCATTTTAATTTCAGTAGATACTTCGAGAACAAAAGGTGTCAACTAGCAAGAAGTATAGTCTGAAACAAATGAACACCCAAGGAACATCCCTCCCCTAGAAGAGGTTGTGATCTGATCTAGGTGTCCTGCTCCGGCAGGGGGATTGGACTAGATGATCTTTCGAGGTCCCTTCCAATCTTTAACATTCTGTGATTCTGTGTGTGATTCTGTGATCAGACAACAAAAGCAGCATTACATTACATTACCTGTCTGACACAGTGTCCAAAGAGCTCAGGAAGTTTGAACTAGAGGAACTGTTTATGTTGGGGTTTTATTGCCATTGCCTTTGCCTTGTTTTAATTCAGCAGCAGAATATTTGCTGGAGGAGCTGGGCTGGAGAAGCCAGTTAGAGTCCACAAAAATGCCAATGATTTATTTATTGCCATCATTTAGGGAAAGGGCAGCAGTTGCTTGTTCTGAATATTTAACATAGCAGGAAAAAGCAAGCTGCTCTGAAGCCTGTGTGTTCGTGTGAAGCGCTGCAAGCCAGCATGCCCGTTTGGACCCCAAAATTCAGAGGTAGGAGAGCCATGAAGGTGTGCCAGGTATGCCATACTCTTACAGGGACTGAGACTTCTTCTTCAGATCTCAGTTTGCATGGTAATGAGCAGCCTGCTGAGGAGATCCTCTCTGATCAGTGACCTGCTATGAAAGTCCAGGTAAGGAGGTGAGGTGCGCCCGCAAATCAGAAGGCACTACCCAAGTAGCATTCATCTCAGGAAAATTGAAATTCATTTTACTTCACGCATCATTTGTAATAATTCCCAGGAAAGCAGCAGGTGGGAGAAATTAGCATCAGAGCTGTTCCCTACCCAAAGCTAGCTATAGCAAGTTGCCTTTTGAAACACTGAAGGACTGTTCTTACCTCGCTTCCCCCCTTCCTTGGTTTTCCAAGGGACTCAAGCAAATGGCCTCAATGTCTCCAGCTACTGACACAACCCACCAGAGGTTTCTCAAAAAAAGCATTCAGGAGCAGCCAGGTCAGAGCCACACAGGGGCAGAAGGGAAGACAGAAAAAGACAATTTCCCATGCTTCTCGTGTGTCACACTCAGTGCAGAGCCGCCTCCTTCAACATGTCATCTGCTGCAGTGGGATTTCACTGCTGTTGTTGGCTATGGAGGAAACATGCCTGACTGCAGATGGGACTGAGCATCAGGAAATGGCAAGCACCTGCCTCTGACTCTCCCCAAGGAGCCATCTGAGGGAGAAGCTCTTAGAGAAGCCTGTTTCTTCTTGTGACTGTCACCATCTGTGAAACACCCTTAGCAGAACAAAAGGGACCATTGTCATGCCCCAAGTGTATGAAGAAAAAAACCCAAACATAAGTCTGTTTTTAAAGGAGAGCATCTAAAATCTCATAGCCAATTTGCAAACAGATATTCCGTCTGCATTGTTTTAAATCAATATTTAGCAGCACAGGTTGTGGGTCTAAGTGGCACAGAATTCAATATCAAGATCAGTACACAACATAGGACCTTCCTGTTACTTTTATTTTCTGAAAATCTCTTTTTGAATGCTTAAGGAAATAGCAGCTAAAAAGGTTAATGCCCTGATGATTGGCTATGGTTATATCCATCCTGGAGCCAGACCATCTAGCAAGCCTCTCACTGCCCATCGTGATACAAGAGTGAGATTTAACCATGCTCACAGTGATGAACCACTATGTGTCAACCCCAGTTTAATGCAGGATGAGGCTTCCCAGGCCCCAGTGACTTTTTCTTCCAAAGCTTTAATTGTCTGGGTGGTAAAGGTTGTTTCCTCAGAAGCTGAAGGGAGCTCTGAAACTGCAAGCTCCCTAGGACTTGGTTGTGACCACAGTGTAAGAGTTAAATCACTATTGCTAGTAACTTGAGCGCTCTTGTCCCTTAGTGGAATGCTTTACCTTTTACCAGGCACAGGGGCCTCCTTAATATCAAGCAGTTAGGCAGACAATGAAGGAAACGTATTTGCATAACATGCTCAGACCAAAGGTTTCTATGAGTCACCATGGATGCACTTTCCAGGAGAAAGTGTTACTGGAGGGCAACAATAAATTGATCAGTCTCTTTAAAATTTCTCATAAAATTGTATTAACAAAATGGTAAATACATTACACAGAGACCGTAACCACAGGATGTTTACATAATGCCCACTGTGGACAAGTACTAAATACCATAAAAGACCTGAGACCCCCCCAAAAAGTCCACAAGTTCTGGCTCTCACAAGGCAGCTAGAGCACAACTGTTCCTTCTCCTCCTCTTCTTCCTCTTCCCCTTCACACTTCAGCTTCAGCATTGTGAACTTTGCTGGTGGTTATTGCAATTCCTATTGCTAGGCTTCCATTGTCGGCAAAGAGCTGAGCCAGGGAAGTGTTCAGCACAAGACAATCCCCGTCCGAAATGACTGAGTCAACACACTCCAGTACTGACCTCGGGGTCGCCTCCCATTTAAGGCGCCTCTGGTTCCTGTTGAGCTCAAGCCGGTAGGTGAAGTTGTCGGCTTGGTTTGGTGTGCCAATCAGCATCATCGTGGCGAAGAACTGGGGGTGGCCTTCATACTTCTCCTGCTTCCTGAGGACCAGCAAAAACTGGTGGCCAAGGCAAGAGTGCATGATGATCCAGTCTGTGGGTGCAGGCAGGTGCATGTCCGTGGCCAGGAAGACAATCTCTGCCCCCTGAAGGATGTTGATGTGGTGGGTCTGCCTCAGGTGGGACACCACCACCTCCAGGTGCCCTTCCCATGGGCAGGAGAAGAGCGGGCACATGCAGGGAACCAGCTGAGGGTCGTGCACTGCTTCATGGTGATGGCAGGGAGGAAGGACGCCTTGCTCCGTGGACGTCTGTGCAGCTGCACAGCGGGTCGGTGCATACTGTGAGAAGAGAGAAATCACAGGTGATAGCAAGTGGACCAGGAACCTGTACAGATATGCAAGGTGCAGACCCTCAGATGTCAATCACCTTATGACCCACCTAAAACAGCAGTGGTGATAACACCAGGAACCCAATGCTGCTGAAACCAGGCTGAGATCAGGGGCAATCCAGTCCTGGATCTGCATGGCAAAAGGTGCTGGCAGTTGCCTTGTTCTCCAGGAGAAGAGAGAAACCATTTGAGCCATAACAAGTAACTTCAAATGAAAGTGATGTATGTGTTTAAAGAGTGATTTCATTAGTTTGGGGAGAAAAATATGATTAAAAAGAAAAAAAACCAACAAAGCAAGGACAGCATGGGGCATTTTATACAGTTAAGGCTCTTGCAGCTCAGAACAAGGAAATTAAATATGTATGGGTTTATTATTCTTTAATGAAACACACTGGCAAATACAGGCATTTCTCCTGAAACAGTGTGCTTTATAACACCCATAATTTGTGAAATAAAAGTCAGTTTTTATTGTACATGATGCCTTCACTTTTTTTGTCAATGTATTTGTGCTTAATTGATGCACTTACCTCCATAAATCTTAAAGATCTCTCACAGGTGGATGGATGGCAAATTAAGGGGTTTTTTATACTAAAGTAAATTTGGATTAAGGTAGGGCATCTAGCTGAAAGATTAGCAGCTCTTGCAGAATAATTTCACATGAAGACCAGGAAGCAAACCATTCTGCCTCTGTCAAGCGAATGTTGTTGAAGAGCAATGAGAAAGTCTTATTCAACCAAAGGTGTATCCACATGTAATGCTATTCAGGAAGAGTAATGGCTCTCCACAATAACCCTGTGGCACAAACCCTAAGGCACAGGCATGCTGGTCATGACTCATCCTTCCCAATTTTAAGCATTTACTTCACCCAAGACAGAAACCTGGTTACCTTGGGACTGCCTCTGCAGTGAATAGAGGGAAGCAGCCCTTCCCAGTGGCAGATTCAGATCTTAGCTGAAGTAATTTGCCTCCTAAAGGTGGCACCAGCTGCTGTTGGAGTGACTAAGGCTGACATCAAATCTGTCCAGTCGTACCTACATTTTCGATGATTAAATGTAGGAGGACATTGTCTCCCTCTGAACTCCTTTGGAGATGCTCATAAGGAGTAATAAGAGTTAAAAATACGTATACATACATATATGTACATTTTGCTTTAACATATGTTTTAGGTAGATTCATGTACTTCTCCGGACACTGCCTCGTGTCTGCTCATTTCACCATATATACCCAAAATGACAGGAACAACAGTACAGTTCTAACATCTAACAGTTTTTCTCCATGCCATGTCTAAGTCATAGGAGATTTGGGGTTTCTTCATCTGTTTTAGAGCAGAGATTTGTTTTAACCAGAGGCAAGCACAATCCCATATAATAGGTACCAGATATGTTGCAAATGGTGCATTGTCTCATCTCTCTATGGATAGTGTAATGACTTTCGTTACAGCCTTGACATGAGAGTAAGCATTCTTACTGCAAGCAGTCTTTCCTACCAGTACTTGCACTTTTGCTTTCCAGGATGTTTTGGAAGGCAATCTCTTGGGTCAGCTGTCCCAACTCTCAGATGACCAAGGCTTCCTTGCCAACCAAAGTGACAAAGTCCTGGATCTCCATTCTCATTTTGTCGGTAGCTGCCAAGGGACGTGATGGGCAGAGCAGGGTTGTGATTGCTGCTGCTGTGAAATTCATGGTTCTTCCCAAGTCACTGGGTGTCAAAATGAGCTGTTTCTTCTTCCTCTGACATTTGATACGAAGAATAATTGGCTATGTAAGCCCTATTGACCTATTATTGAACCTAGCAACTTTTGCTTTGGAGAATTATTACTTCAGTAGTGCTGTTCTGCCTTTTCCTTCCTCTTATTTTATTTGTTTTGATGTACAAAATTCAAGAATATAAACTTTCCAAGAAGATAATGAATTGAGGATGGATAAATGACTGTCATTGTCTGGGAAATAAAACAGGTCATTATAAACTAATCGAGGTTTGTGGCTTTAGCTGCCTGCTTATCACGGTGGGATTGCTGGTCCATACTTAATTCTACATTAATTTTTGCATCCCATTAGGATGAAAGTTATGGTTAAATTAAACTCTTTTTGGTGAAGGAGTCTACTGCAATAGCAGATCGTAAAAGCCTTTTAAAAATTCCCTGAAATGCTAATTGCCTCATAAAATTAATTCTTATCTCCCAATCTAATACAGTGGGTGTGAGCAATTACTTTCTCTCACCAAACTGTTAATGCAACATTAGTGATTATACTAATTAAAACTAATGAACTCATACTCACATGCTGATAAACCTCTCAACCACTCGACAAGTTCCAGCCTTCTATCAGTTTTATTTAGCTCCTCTTTAGGAAGATGAATCTTAAATTAACCTCTTGAATAACACTCAAAATTAGGTTTTGAAATGTGAAGCTTTATAGACTGTGTATAATTCCTCTCCAAAGATTACCAGAGTCAGAGAAACCATTTCCACTGAGGATGTAATTGAATTTAGAAATGCATTTTCCTAATTTGATAAGCATGGAGAGCAATGGTAGCTCATCCATCCAAACTGTATCCACGGTAAGAAAATACAAGTATCTTAAAAAACTACTTTATGACAAGCATGTTTCTATGGCTCGGGCTGGAAAAATAAATTACAATGAGCAATTTATTGACTGTATCTTTCTTCTTTCTTTCATTTGTGATTTTTTTGGTGTGTCTGCAAATAATTGAAAATTCCCTTTCACATCTCACATTTTTGAAGCACTTCCATGAATCACTTCAGCAAAAGATTTTTGGTCTGATTGTTCAGTTCAGGTTTATTGAAGATTCTGGAAATCCAGTGCAAACCACATGATCTATTTTTATTCTCTGACTAGGTGAGAATCATCTTCGAAATCTGGTTTCTGAATTATTCAACATTCCTGTTTCTAAGTTCTAAATTTTGTATTATTCTGAAACAAACATTTAAAAATTCCCTGTCTCTGTGAAAAAAAGTCTCACAGAATATTATCATTTTACTTTTGCTTTTGAGTTATGAGTGCCTGTGCCCTTGTCGGTCTTTCATATGGTTGTGAATAGAACCTCTAAAACTGAAATGCAAAATGGGCATAAAATGGTCACCCTGAGTGCATTTAAATGCTTGAATAAATATTAATGAACATTTTTTCCGTGGTTAATCTGCTCCAGAATTTAGTTTCCATCATTTATTGCCCGATTACCTAATAAAATTAGGTTTATTATATTGTTTTGCCAGTCCAGTATTATTCTCAATTATCTTTTAGACTGTTGGCCAATTTCCGTCAAATTTAACAGTGTGATAGAAGTCTCAAAGGCTTTAATTTTCGGCCAGCTTTGTGACAAGAGGCAGCAGGGCAGAGAAGTATGACTCTTTCACGTCTGCAGGGAGGAACAGATTGCCGCGTGGACAATATTACATTATCAGATAGGAGAGAACCTAAACAATGCCAGTTGCATCCCAAATGTATTATAGACACTAGAGAACCCACATGAGACATTGTCTTTATGAACAGGAGAAAAGGCTTCAGCCAGAGTGCTCCTCATTAGACACGAGATAATCCTGCCACAAGACACCAAACCATGGGAAACCAGGCTCTGCTGCTCACAGAAAAATTTCTCTTTAATGATGCGGCTTATTACAGTGCAATTCTCTTTAAGAACAATTCATTTGTCAAAGGGCAATTTATAAACACATGGTGCTTTTCTTATGAAAAAAAAAAGGTTATATTTGGACCTGGGACACTGGGCTTCTGGGTCCTGCCCCAGCCTTTCTACAGACTTTCTGCTAAAAATGCAACAAACCGCTACAGGTGACTCATCTGTTCTAACTTTGACGTCTAAGGAGTAGGTGGCTAACTCTGAAGAACATCAGCTCCTTTTACAGCCCATGCAGAGCCCCGGAGTGTGATTCACTTCATCCCAAGGGATGCTGAAGGAACATCTCCCCGGACACAGCACTCTACACATAGTCAGGACCAAACCCATCCTCAGGGCAGACCCACAGAGGTTTTACTGGTTTCTAGTATAGGAGGAGAGGGGTGTCCCTGTTTTGAACAGGAGGGACTTGTACCATTATGGGCTCCTCCTGCTGCACTGGAGACACTGCAGTCCATGGAGAGAGAAATGGATGCCTGTTCACACACGAGTGTAAATCTGTGACTCCCTGCCACCATTTCACCAGTGACTTGATAAAAAATCCAGGGGAAGGTCGAAGGGTAGATCCAAGAGGTAGAGATCTCTGAGATCTTGAAGAGGTAGAGAAGACACAAGCATATCTCTGAGTCTGCAGCTGCAAAGCTGAGGCACCCACCCAGGAAAGAGGGATTTCGTATTGCTCCTCATGCTCTGAGGGACCTTTGTATTTTAACTAGCAAAGACTTTAGGTCAGCTATAGCAACAGTAGTGGAAACAGATGCAGCAATGCACACTGCACCCCTGCTGGCTGAGCTCTCTGTCCTGTGGGGTACAGGGGCTGGCTACACCACAAACCCTCAAGCCCTGTTTCTCTGCTGCACATCCGCACAGCTTCATACGGGAGAGCAGAGGTGACCGCTGCCCTGAGCAGCCAAATGCCTTGCGGTTAAAGGCATTTGACTGACTGCAAATGGGAAAAAATTTGCTCACTGTAAAACCTTCAGGGTGAGGGAGGGTTGAATCCAGTCCATATTGTAGAATAATAGATTCTGCTCAGGTCTGCAGAATTAAATCACCTTTCTGCACTTTCCAGTGTTCTCCTGTGTTATACTGGGAACTTGGATGCCTCATTTGTACTTTTACTTACAGTAATGCACATAATGTGCAAAGAATCATCCTTTTACATGCCTGTGGACAGTGCCAGTGCATGCTGAGAACATCCCAAGGAGTGAGGAGAAGGACTCATTTGCTACTCAATCAATAAGGGTTTCCAAAAGCAAAGCAGGTGCTGAGAATCTTTTTTCAGACACTTCACACATGTACAACTGCATTTTATCCTGTGATCACACACAACTTTGTAAACACTCATTAATTCACCCATGGTCTGGGCTATTTGCCTGGGGAAGTCAATGGTGTAGTCTGAAGGCCACCACAGTGGGGCTTCTCACGGAGGTGAGAAATAAAGAGGTGAAAATAAAGCCATTGAACACGCCAGCCAACCCAGCCCAGCAGACAGTGCTCCCTGTCTCCCCTGGTCCAGCTTTAGCACACACTGAGACATGCAACCTAACCCTCATCCTGAGAGGGAACCTGTACCTGTTTCTTCTGTGGATCCAAACTCTTTCCTCCTCAGCCACAGCTTTCCTGGCTGGATTACAGGAGACTTGGTAAGAGCTGTCTACGTTCACGGCAGCTCTGATCTCCGGTGGGAGCTAGGAGTTGAGAGGGGCTGTGCTCACGCCCCTCGTTATAAACCCACCACCTGTGCTAATGCTGCCTCCTGCTATGGCTGGCCCCGCTCCAAGATCCAGTTTCCTACTGTGTACAACTCTGTAAACCTTATCTTGTTTGAGGTAACACCTGATTCAGGCTGACTTTATATATTAAATTACATATACACTTGTATAAACATACATACATATATTCATAAATAGACTCATAACACTTACAGGTTTGTTTCAAATGTTTCTGAGAATCATGCAGTGGAGAAAACCACAGTTTTGTCCACATTAAACCATTCTGGTACCTTTTTATTTAAAAAGTGGTGGGACCTGGGGGGATGGAAGCCCATGCCTTTTGATGAGGAGCTTATTTTTGCTGTCCTTGTGAAAATAGTTCCAAATTTGAGACTGCATTTTTTTTTTTTAAACTGCCTCTGAGAAGGGTTCATTTTGTCATGTGTTTTTTCATCTATGAGGCTCATTGCTGTGGCTGTCTCTGTGCATCACAGGCATCTGTCAGCTGATACCTATGATATTGAGCTGAAGTGTGATGGCAGTATTATTTCTCAGTTTAGGATCAAGGAATTTAGGCATGGAGAGATTAAAGATCCAAGTGTATTGACCATGTTTTGTTGCCCAGTTTATATCTAACAGCCCCTGATTTTTCATGGTAGAATTGCCTCCTAAAGCACTTGATATTTTCAAAATCCAGTCTCCATTAACCTCAGATCATAGAATCACAGAATCATGGAATGGTTTGGGTTGGAAAGGACCTTAAAGATCATCGAGTTCCAACCCCCCTGCCATGGGCAGGGACACCCTCCACTAGACCAGGTTGCTCAAAGCCCCATCCAGCCTGGCCTTGAACACGTCCAGGGATGGGGCATCCACAACTTCTCCGGGCAACCTGTGCCAGTGTCTCACCACCCTCACAGTAAAAAATTTCTTCCTAATGTCTAGTCTAAATCTACCCTCTTTCAGCTTATACCCATTACCCCTTGTCCTCTCACTACACTCCCTGATCAAGAGTGCCTCCCCATCTCTCCTGTAGGCCCCCTTCAGGTACTGGAAGGCTGCTATTAAGTCTCCTCGGAGCCTTCTCTTCTCCAGGCTGAACAACCCCAGCTCTCTCAGCCTGTCCTCATAGGGGAGGTGCTCCAGCCCTCTGATTAATTTCGTGGCTCAAATGCAGATGTGGTTACAAGTCATCAAACTACCTGCAAATCAGGTCTAAGACTTTAGGTTGAGCAGCTTTGGAGCAGAGATCTACTAGAAGCCACCCACAAATAGCTTGCTCTAAATGATTCTCCAGTGTCATAGGGCTTTCCAGGCAGGGACATGAGTCTTCCTCCCAGCTACAGGACCTCCTTGCTAACATGCCATCACTTAATCTGCTCCACCACTCTGCGTGTGACAAGGGACAACAAGAGATGCAGTCACCCTGTAGGTAGGTGAGCAACTTGGAAATGTGCAGTAAGAACTTGATGGATTTTTGGCTTTGACCTAAAGATTTTTGCAGGCAAGAAGGGACCTGAGGCTGCAGCTGTGGGGTGCTCTGAGTGAGAGCTGCATGGCAACTTTCAGGGTTTCTGTTGAAAGAAGTCAGCATTTTATTTGCTGGTGAAATGTGCCATTTATTCAGTTTTCTTACTGTCTTCCTCCTCTTCCTTGGTTTCTCAGGGTCTAATTGCTTCTTCTCATCTGTATGGAAGCTGCCTCCAATAATTTTCTTATTCTCAACTTCTTTCTGCCGCATAAAAGCTTTGCCACCCGCTAACATCCACCTCCACATTACTTACACCCACCACACAGGGACATATGCTCAAAAGAACTATAAAGGTGACATGAAGAAAGTAGTTTGGCTTTTAATCTCGGTCTTCATTGTCTTCATTTAATTTATCTTCTGCTATTTTTTAGTATGCTAATAAGATTGTGTAAATCTCTCAGATGAAAGAAAAGAGATGGGGGAAAAAAAAAACCCCTCAACTATTTTGTCAAAAGCTGTACTTGCATATCTGAAATTAAGAAATCCAAGCCAGGGCTTATGTTGGGGATTTATTTAAAATTTTAATTACACAGAATCATATTCATTACGAATGCATCAGTTGAATTTCTTAAGTACTAAATATTAGTTGCAGCTTTGGCAGTGGGAAGATTTGTTTTCCCTACTATCAAATGGCAGCGAGAGGACAACTTCAAGCTCATTTTGCTAATCTCACTTTGCAACATAATCAGGCATGACTTGGTGACAGTGTGCAGGATGTGTTAATGGCTGTCCTCATGCTAATTACACACCTCTGGGTGTGCAGAGAAAACGCTGCTTTAGTCCAGGCTGCAATACCACACTTCTCTATATCAGAGGACCCTGAATTTTAGATGAGGCCATGTATTTTTAGAGGTATTTTGGAAGAAAATAAATGTATTTTTGTGGTAAATGTAGCAAAAATATGTTACAGAATTTTGAATATATCCCAGATGGAAAGAAAGACATTATTCTCAAATTAAAACCCCTTGCTTGCTTTTCAGAAATCAGTTTTTTCAGCGTAAACTGTCATGCAGACTTGAAGTGCAAGGAAAAAAAAATCAAGAAACCTGACATTTTTCAATATACTGAAAATAATGTAGTTATAATGAAATATATCAGGATCCATACTAAAGTGTTTCAGTCTCATAGATGCTTTCTGAGAGAGACCTAGGTATAGATACCAGCAGAGTGGAGCAAGGTCACACTCTCCAGACCACTTAATGGTCACTGAAACTTCCCATATTTCAGGCTGAAGGGAGATAACAACACCTTGCTGACCCTCAGCCAAAGCTGCAGATGGGTCATGGACACCCAGACAAGTGATCCGGGCGTAGCTTCTATGTTTGTTGGATCTTGCCTGAGATCACTTTATGTGCTTTGAGGAATAAAATACATTGAGTAGATACAAGCAAGGTTCCAAAGGCTTACCCAAGGATGAATCTTAGATTTAAGACCTGTAACAACAGAAAAAATGCTTTGAGTAAACACAGTGTGAGACCATGACTATGAGAACAAATAGGACCAGATGCGCTCATAGTACCCAGAGCATCTTTGCTCAGTGCAGGCTGATCCTTCACCCATGCTCACTACCCTCACCCATGTTGCCTTTCTGCTCTCTGTTACTTGGGCTTGGGACCCCCTGACAGAATCACTGGCTTCCTGGAAATTTTGAAGGGCTTTTAGAATGGAGGGGAGCAATAGAAGAAGACAATAAACTGCTCCTGTTCCTGAAGGAGAAGCCCACGAGGGTCCTCCTGCCAGTACTACTTAAGCCCTTCGCAGAGGCACCCAAGAGAGGAGCTGAACTGAGGCTGTTTTGGTGAAGCACGAGAAGGTGTCCCCACTGTGATGGTGGGGGGAGCGGAGACAGACTCTTTCTCTGTCACGAGGAAATTCCCTGAAGTGCAGATGGCTACTGGGGATGAATCCAGATCCTGGATCCTGAGCTACAGCTACTGTCAGCAATAGAGGTGAAAAGGGTGGGCAGCTGCAGGTCCGAAACACTGTTTTCCTCCTCTGCAGGGAGTTTAGAGATAATTTTACCATTTTCCTCTCTAGTTTGGTTCTGGGAGACCCTGAATCTCCTCCTGGCAGGCTGCCTAGTCTCACAGAAGGGCTGGAGCCTTTACAGATTTGGGAGAAGCCAGGCTGGAGGGTGGGATGTGCCCTTGGGTCCTGATTTGCAACTTGAATTCTCTTTGCTGCATTTTAGGACTGGGCACAATGGAGTGACAACAAACCATTGTGCAGAGTATTTGATGTTGCACTGCAACTGCTGTTGCACTGGGGCATGGATATGTTGACCCTCTTCCCTTTGGATTAGAAGAATATTTTATACCTTGTTCTAAGCAAGGGTGCCTCTTAATGCCATTCCCTTTGGCCACGTAGGGCAAGTATCAGAACCCAAGGTACACGCTATCAGCTCTTGCTCCAGAAGAGCAGGGTGTAACAACTGTTTATTACCAGATTGCTCATGAGGCAATGCTGTTTGTGAATCTGGGTGATGTAGTGAACAGCCTGCATATGTAAAAAGACATAATCCAAAATGTAGAACGATCTGAAGATTCACTTCGTCTTTTATCCACTTTGTATTTTGGATAAAGACTGTTAACAAAGTGCAAACCCATTATAGGCTTTAATTAAAAACAAAGTGACAAAGTAGTTCCAAGCTGTGTCTGCTCTGTCTGATAAGGGAGGCAGAGTTCACAAGAGCTCTATATCTGACCTGTTGAGTTTGTGTTTTACATTCCCACTGAAAAAGAAATTAATATGGAAAATAATTTAAAAAAAATATTATGCCCACTGTGCTCATAAACTTAACAGTTCAGACTCCCTCTAATAACTCATCATTCAGTATTCATTTACAAGTTACTACAGTAACAGCATGTTTCCAAGAGGAACAGATTTGCTGGTGTCATCTGAGATAATTAGACTAAATCCACCCCAAGACAATCCAAATGCTTTGCTTCCATCAGGCAACCTCCAGCTATCACAATTATATGACATCTAAATCCACTAACTACTCTTTCAGAAATGCACCACGGGTGTGCCAAAGGATGGCAGAAACATTACTGGTCTGTTGGAAGGAGAGAAGGGATGAGGTGGTTGTTGCTGAGCAAGCCTGCAACTTCTCTTCGTGGAACCAATGTCTCCAATCCCATCCACACACACAGCTTCTGGCCAAGGATTTGCTTTGTGGTCTATGTCACATTGCTGTTGCAGCTGTCACAGGGTAATGTGCAATTAAGCCTAGCCAGGCAGGTCACAGCTGAGTTCAGACACTGGGATGGGGCCATGTAAATGGAGCAGGGAGGAAGCACAGGGCACGTAATCCTGCTGATGCTGGCTCCCTGTCCGGTCTCACAGGCTGTGCCTGTGCCCACAACTCTGTAGCAGTCACTGAGCCATGTACGAGCCCTAAGACACTCCTAATTTTTGGTTAAGACCTTCTCTTGAGAGCTGTGCCTGGGGAAATGTAAGAGTCACTTAAAATCACACCTGCCTCCCTCCTGCCGAGGCATCACTGGTACCAGCGAGCGATGGGCATCTCAAACCCATCCACAATGGCCTTGTGTGGCACAGGTCACGCTCAGGTTTCATCAGCATTAGAAAAAGATGGGAAAATAAATTCTGGTGGGCTCAGAATAATTCTCTTTTCCCCTACGTGTCCCTGCTCCTTCTCTGCTAGTGACCCAGCCCTGAGCTTTCAGCTTGCCCTTGCTCTGGGTACCTGCAACATTGCTGCGGCATTGAATGAAAAAAGTCTTCCTGTTAGAAGGCAACCCAAAATTCATCATTATTCCACTGTCAGCTGAAAGTGTGTCTTGAGTTTTTTGCAGTCAGTCTTAAGAAAGGGGAAAAAACACAAAACAATCCAAAAAACCAATGTGAGACAGTAGCTTTGGGCATGAAAAACAAATTGCAAGTCTGGGGAAATTTTTTAGCTTGTGTAAAGTATGCTGATGCTTTATTGATATATTCTTTGCAGTAAGGAAAGGGACATTTCTGTGGGAACATTTGGCTTGTCTCACAAATACTTCTTTTGATTTTGTGCAAATCATAACCTGTTCCTTCTTCTTCCTCCCCCTCAAATTGTCAAAGAACAGTTCTTCCAGAAGTTTTCTTCACATGGGAAGGATGCAGGTGGAAAGAAAGAACAGAAAGGGAGGCTCAGCTTAGCCAGAGAAGACAATGTTCCATCTCTATTAATAGAGTGAAAGTTTAAAAGTTTTCTTGAAGAAAAAAACCTCCAACAACCTTCTAAGTTAACATTCATGCTTATGGAAAGGTGCTGTATTGACAGCCTCTGGGTTTGCAGTGCTCTGCTTGCAGAGGGAGTAGAGCACAGAGAACAACAGCGTTCTTTTTTTTTTTTTTTTTCAACTTGTCCTGTCAAAATGCTTCAGATCTGAGAAAAAAAAAATGGTCTCCCCTAGCCAGGAGAGGTTGAGTCAGTCTCCACATTGCCCCTCCTGCAACACTGCCCTTTTGGGGAGGGAATCCCTGGGCATCCCCTAGCCTGCTGGCACCTCCACTCTAACCTCCTGTGCCACCATCAAGAGGGAGTATAGAACCAGAATCACTGAATGGCTGTGTTTGGAAGGGACTTTTGAAGATCATCTACACTCCTGCCATAGGCAGGGACACCTTCTACTAGATCAGGTTGCTCAAAGCCCCATCCAGCCTGACCTTGAACACTTCCCATGATGGGGCATCCACAGTTTCTCTGGGAAACCTGTTCCCTTGTCTCACCATCCTCATTGTAAAAAATTTCTTCCTTATGTCCAATCTAAACCTACCCTCTTTCAGTTTAAAACTGTTACCCTTTGTCCTGTTACTACAGGCCATGGTAAAAAGTGTCTCTCTATTTTTTTATCAGCTCCCTTTATACACTGAAAGGCTGCAATCAGGTCTGCCTCAAGCCTTCACTTTTCCAGGCTGAACAACCCCAACTCTCTCAGCCTTTCTTCATAGGAGAGGTGTTCCAGCCCTCTGACCATTTCTGTGGCCCTCCTCAGGACCTGCTCTAACAGGTCCATGTCTTTCTTGTGCTGGGGATCCCGGAGCTAGATGCAGTACTCCAGGTGTACTCTCACAAGAGTGGAGTAGAGGGGCAGAATCACTTGCCTCTACCTGCTGGCCACGCTGCTTTCTGTACAGGCCAGGATACGGTTGGCTTTCTGGGCTGCAGGCACATGTTGCTGGGTCATATCTGATTTTTCATCCACCAGTACCCCCAAGCCCTTCTTGGCAGGGCTGCTCCCAATTCCTTAATCCCCAAGCCTGTATTGATACTGAGAGTTGCCCTGATCCAGGTGCAGGACCTTGCAGTTGGCCTTGTTGAACTTCTTGAGATTCACAAGGTGCCATTCCTCGAGTCTGCCAAGGTCCCTTTTGATGACATCCCTTCCCTCAAGCGAATCACCTTCACTGCTCAGCTTGGTGTCATCTGCAAACTTGCTGAGGGTGCACTCAATCCCACTATCCCTGTCATTGGTGAAGACATTAAACAGTATTTGTCCCAGTATGGATCCATGTGGGACACCACTCATTACTGGCTATTGAGCCATTGACTATTAATTCTTTGGGTGCTGCCATCCAGTCAATTACTTATCCATCTACAAATCCATTAATCAAACCCATATCTCTCCAATTTAGAGGTAAGAATGTTGCAGGGGACCATATCAAAGGCCTTACAGCAGCACAGGTAGATGACATCTGTAAGTCTTCCCTTGTCCACTGATGCAGTCACTCCATTGTACAAAGCCACAAGATTAGTCAGGCATGATTTGTTCTTGGTGAAGCCATGTTGGCTGTCTCTAATCACATCCCTGTCTTCCATATGTTTTGACATCTTCCAGGAGGATCTGCTCCATGATTTTACCTGGCACTGAGGTGAGTCTGACTGGTGGGATGTCACTAGGGGATGACAATGTTGTTCATGGGGAAACCATGAACAATCCAGAGGTGAGAGACCTGTCACCCAGCAAGGCCGCAGCTCCTGGAGTGGAGTTATTTTTAAAGTCGGGGATGCTCTTGCTGGAAATCCATTGGTGTAGACTGTGCAGCTCTGGCTGCAGCACCACAGGCTCTTTCAATTGGCTTTGGTGTCTCTGGCTCTCCATCCTAAAATTTCCTATTTTAGTGCAACTGTAGTGTTGGAGAAAGGGGGCAGAGGGGGCACATTTCTTGTTCAAAGCCATTCTTGCACTTTAATGCCCCCCCTTTACACTCTCACTTGTCTTGTGGGAAGGTTTTATGTTTTAACCTCAGCCAGGTCCTTCTCATGCAGGCAGCTTAATACAGGTTCTTATAAACTTGTCTGGCTGTACAATGCTCCACACCTTGCACGTCATAAAAATGAGTAATTGTACAACTATTCTGATACATTTATGGGTTTTGAGGATTTGAGAGTGGGATGGATTTTTTTTTTTTTTATTTTCAGCTTTCTATAGAGAGCTTTTTATAGAGCTTTCTGTGTGACATGTTATTGAACAAGATGACAGACCACTCATTTCACCACATCAAAGGCATTTCAGCCTTTCTTTCCCAGGACAAACCTCTCTCCTTCTTCCCAAAGTGCTGCTAGGGCTGGAGGGAGGAAGAGTGGCAGCTCAGGGAGGGAACACAAAGGGAAGATCTACACCCTGTCTCTCATGCTTCAGTGCTGCCTACCTGCTCCCTGGGCCAGGGTGCAAGCATGTGAGAGAAGGCATGATCCCACCGCCCAGGGCTCAGCCTGCCAAGCTCCCAGCTGCCATCCCTGCCCCCTGTTGGGATGTGGCCCTGGGGTGAACAACATAGCTTTGCTGCACGGAACTGTACACCCCTGTGACAACTGAGTCATTTGGGGTGGGCATCACATCCCCTTCTGGTTTTGTATTAGGCTGAGAGCTCAGGGCAGACCTTTGGGACCAGGCTTAGGAAGCAGGAGTGGCTGTGTGGTGTTCTGTGCAGCCTGTCACCCAAAGGCACAGATCACGTGTGTAGTTACTGCAAGAGAGACACTCACACTCCCAGGAGGAGTCAAGTATTTCTGCAGCTTCTTCAGCAGCTACTGCTCAGTGAAGGCTGTTAGGCACCTTCATGCCCCTGTCAACACAGCTTTCATCTCTCTTTAAAACCCTTCATTTCCCTCCTTTCCACCCTATGAGCATGCAGTGATGGCTTACCCTGCAATTTCCAAATCCACAGCGAGACCATGCCAACTCAGAATAACAACTTTTAGACCCACCAGGCATGCAAAGACCTCAAGGAGAAGGATAGCATTACTTAGCAGAAGAAACACCAGTGACAAACAGCTGGATAAATTTCAGATGGGATTTGTCTTGTCTAAATGTATGTATCTAAAAGATAGACAAGTTCAAATCTGAACTACTTTGCTGAAGCTCCCTTGATAATGGAGATAAGATGTACCTCCACAGAGCAATTCATCATCCCTATTTTGAACATGTCCATTCTCAGGGAAAGTTGAAATTATTGTGCAGCACCTGCAGGAGATGTTCACTACTCTTCCTTGGCTAGAAGTGGAGCTGGGGTCACTGGCCCAGAACTGGACATCAAACATGAAAAGTTTTGCCACATTCAGTGCAGAAGGAGAGTCACGACTCAGAGTAGCAAAGGGTGTCAGGAGACTGCCTCTGTGACTGTTTAATGGGTGATTATGAGCTGCCTATTTGCCTAATGGAGAAAAACCCTTGAGCTGACACAATTTCTTCCCAGATAAGGGCTGGTCATCCTAATTTTCAGGCCTCTAGATTTAACAGTGAAATAAAACTAATTTACAGCTCTTGCCATCAGGAGGACAAATTTTCATCTCCGTCTTTCGGGTGAGAGGCACTATAACAAATGAGTGATTACTGACCCATGGTACCTATTAGAGATTGCAGTTGGGTCATCTCATTTGTTGTTTTAACACAAGAAATTAAGAAACCTAGCAGGGCTGTCACAAAAATTGAATAGATAATGAGATGAATGCTGCCTTTACCAGAGGCTCTTTCTAGAATTACATGTGGGAAAAGCTCGGCGATGAAAGGGCCTTGAACTGTGGACCTGAATTGCGGAGCCCAGCAGGACTTGCTGCTTGCACCGGCTTCCTCCCATTGCTACCTGGAAGTGCAATCTAGCTGCCGCACATTGGACTTCAAACAGACAAAGGAGCAGTTAGCCATGTACTTGCTTGGATCTTTCTCCTCCATCTCTGTCTGCAGCTAAATTGCCCGCCAAAAAGGTTTTGAATCAGCAGTGGACAGGACATTTCCCTCCCAACAGAAGCTGCTGTGGCAGATTCCTGTGCGCTTAGCCCGATGCTGATTGCAGACCAGTCCCTGCTGCCAGGTAACAAAGCTCGTTCCTTCAAAAGCAATCTCAGTGCTGGGAAACAAATAGCTTTCAAATTTTAGGGGAAATACTGAAGAACGTAATGGATAACCTGACTGTGAGCTGTGGGAAGGCCAAATAAGAACCTAGCAGTCATGGAGAGGTTCAAGTTCAAGGCATACATACTCAGCTTCTTCTCAGACCCTCCTGCCCCTGGGCTGTGGGGCTGTACATCGTGCATGTGTAGCTCAGCACTGCAGTGCCTGCCCTGGTCTGAGCCTGTGCTCCACCTGCACCCTGGACCCTCAGAATCCACCAACCACCTCTGATTCTGCAGCTCCTCCCTGCAGCCTACTGTGACTCACCAGGCTTTTCCTATCATGCAACACAGTGCCCTGGAATTGTCTCATGCATTGAAGGAAAGAAAATGGTAAGAATTGACTGCCACTTAGTCAACTGCTAGCTAGTTATTAGTTGACTAGTTGTTAATTTTTCTGATCTAATGTAAGATGGAAAACTGTCCCATTACCCTTGGTTCATAGAGGTCTGTTTAGTGCTTTGTAGAGAAAGTACTCAGAGTAGTATCCTACTCTTACTTTCAGAAATTGGGTTATGTCTTTTCTCTCTACACTGGGGTTTCAGCTTAGCCCTGGATGGAAGGAAATCAGAGCTACACCTCTTTCTTCTGCAGCAGAGCAGCAAGGCTAACTGCCCTGTTTTCATGAGCTCAGGGAAGCACAAACAGGAGGATCTGTGAGGCTGTGGTATGAAGCTATATGGCAAGACTCCCTTCAGATTTAGACTATAGCCCAGAAGTTAAATGATCAGTGAAGGACTTAATATCTTTTAACTGCTTTCCTCCAACTACAGCCACCTAGGCTGGTGCACTCCAGCACAGAACAGGGCTGTATGAACACAGCTCCTCCACCACTGCAAACCAGAGCAGACCCAGGACCCACCAGCTTAGGATGCAGGTCATTAACCTCACCCCTGCTTGGGGTCTTGTCAGCACTGGTGAGAGCAGTGAACTTCAGGGCAGGCAGTGGAAAACCTGTTTCCACAGAAAGTGCTGATGCAGTTACAGTAGGAAACCTCCCACTCCCTTTCTGTCACTGCAGCCCCAACTCACGCATCACAAATGCTTTTTCCCAGAGCTGCTTTGTCTTTCTGGTGGACCTGAGGTTGCGAGGTCAGCATTGCAAAGTCAGACATGCAAGTCACATCTCCATGTTGCTTCCCACGTGAGTTTTCTCCTAATTTATTCTTGCTGCCAGTTTTACACGAAGATCTGCTTTAGCTTTTGGGCTTGCTCCAGCACCATTCTCTAAAATTATATCAAGTATTGATTGGTAACAGATACATTACAGGGCAATGCTATTGAGGATACATTAAGTAAATGGAGGAGCAGGCCCTTGCATGCTGCTTTCTTCCTTTCACTCTGCTGCTGCTTATCAGAATGGCAATCAGCATCAGCAGAGACGTATAGGATCTGAATCAGTCACAGCTTAAATGGGACAGAGATCATCCAAATTAATAGGTTATGGAGAAGATTTGGTGTTGTACTAAATAGCTGTGGGTCTGGTACTGTCCTTGGTTACAGAGTAGTTACACAGATGATCTTGTGAAATAAGAATTGTTCAAGGAAAATACTGTGATTCAAGAACCTCAACATTGTGGTGATCTGCCATACCGTTCCATGTTTAATTTTCACTTATTGTCGCTCAATATTTTATTTTCTTTTGTACCTAGAAAGGTGCCAAGCCCTGGTGACAGTGATGGCTAGCTACTATTTTTCAAGTCATGCAACTCAGGCAGTGAAGTAGAAGGGACAATAAGAGAACAGGAAATGAGAGACACAGTCACAGTTCCAGGTGATGGACATTAAGGTGTCACTGGCAGATGATGAGAAGAAAGTGAGTGTTTCAGGATGAGAAATTGAGGTAAAAAATTAAGCAGCAAATGTTTACTAAGATTTGGAACAAAGTAAACTACAACTCTTCCTTAACAGTCAGATGTGAAAACGAGCATCAGTGACAGCAGTATCAACCTAAACTGACCTGCAAATGCCCTTTTACTGGAGCTCCTTGCTACTGACCTTACACAGGTGACTGCAGTTAAAGGAATGCAGGCTGAAAAATCAGCAAGTCTGTGTATGAAATAACATCAAGATTAAGTAAAATCATCTGAAGCCGTAGAGCAGCAGAGTTATAGCTAAACTTCCTTCTCAGTTTGGTCTGGCGTTGTCCTGATCTGGCATCGCTTGGCTATTTCTCTCCACTGACTGCAAGGAGACTTGAGGGTGACTAAGCAGAGCCCAGACGCAGACATCTTGTTTTCAGCTCCTATGCTCAGGTGAGACAAATCCCACCCTGCTCCTGCCTTGGCTCCTGAGCTTCCTGGTTACCTTCAAGCCCTTCAGTTCTTCCTCTTCCTGATCCATCTGCCTGGCCCTGCACTGGCTCATCCCCGTATTGCCTCAAACATGGTCCCCTGGTTGTCTTCATGTCCTTCTTCAGATCAGTGCTTTTGTGAATTTAGGCTCTCCTAGTAACACCTCTGCTCTTCCCCGAACTTTGCCCTAACTGAGCCATGAGACAGGACTGTCAACATCCCATTCTAAACTGAGACTGCTTTCAGAATCTCAGCTAGCCAGCTGGAGTACATCCATGCCCTCTCTTTGCCATATGAAGATTTGCCTTGACACCGACCGTCTAGCTGATAAACTCTATACCACCTGGTCCCTCACGTGAAAGACTCCATGGGACAAAGCAAGCATCCCTGTTTTCACCATGGCTTGCAGCCTTTAAAGGACAGTGATATACAGGTCTTATGTGCAAGGTCTAAACTGCCAAATAAAGGAGATCTAGGGACAGATCTGTGGTTCCAGGCTCAGGTGACACAACCTGGCTTACAGACATACCTTTACTGAGGTGAGACAGGGCAGCCTGAACCTGTGCCAAGAAAAAAGTAGTGCAGGTAGTCAAGGTCCAGACCTCAAACACAGACCTCATCTCCAATTTATCAGCCTAGGCTGCCTTTATACAGGTCAATGAAACAGGCCAGGAACCATTCCCTGGCCCTGAGGACAAGTGGCACATCTTGTGTCTGTGTGGTTGAACTCGCCTCTCACACAGGGTGGCCCCTGTGTTATGTCTGGTGGGAACAGCCCCTGGTCTCTCCGAGCCCATCAAGGAGAGCGCTTGCTGACACAGGGCAAACACCAGGAGAGTGCTGGCCATGGCCATCACACAGCATGGATGATTGCAAGTTGGTGCTGTGGCCTTGGCCTGTCGTGGCTTGGCATATACAGCCGTACCCCAATTTCCCACACCCAGATGTGGTTCAGCTTGTGCAGGCGAGAGGCAGAAATTCACATTAGGGGAGTTCATGGGCTGCTTCCCAAGCCCTTGAAGGTTAATGGCTGCACAGAGATTGTCAGCCTTCTGAGACATCTTTTGGCAACTTTCCCAAGCAGTCGGTCATTTGGAAGAGAAAATAATAAGCACTCTCCCATGGAAGGATTTTTCTTTTGGCATCTTATGTCAAGACGCAGTTACATGTCAGGTACGTGTTTGTTTTCATAAGGCACTATGTAAAAAACATCTCTTCCTTCAAGTGCACATTGTGTCAGCAGCTCTTTTGGACCAATTTCAACTGCTCAGACATACTGCAGCTCTCTTATGGATAGAAGAGGGCATTCAGGCTTTACCTTCCCTGTCAGCTGAAGAGTCACACTGCTCTGCAAACTGCCCTTGAAATCAATGTGGTTGCTATATTAGAAATACTTAGCACATAAATTGTAGGACATGGAGGCAGTGCATGTTACAAGGCATGAGAAGCATGCAGCGAGCCTGCTGTACAAGCTCATTTAAAAATCTAGCACAGACCCCTCGCTGTCCCTTCTGTTTGGTTCAGAGCTTTAAGGGAAGGTGAGGGTACGTGGCTAACCCCATCCAAACTCCAGATGGCCAGAAACGGGGCTGAGCTTTCTCACACATTGTATCTATTTTATGCTGATAAGCCCACACTGCAGGTTTGATAGCAAAATGAGCTTCTTCACCCAACTGGTGAACTTTCAGCTGAATTGGAGGATGTTACTGGGTGGGCAGTGGTTAAAGAACAATAAAACAGGAATGGAAGTGGCATACCCACGTTTCAGTAGGTGCCTCCACAGGGACTGATTGTGTACACACTGATAAATAATTATAAATGGGCAACTTACCCTGGGACTGTGAGACAGTGATGTAAAGAATGGAAACTATCTGTGCAAGTTTTCATGTGCCTGGGTATTTTAAATCCAAGGAGACCACGATAAGGATACATCCAGAATGTGTTTTTGTTTCCAAGCCCACCAAGGAGAGATACATCTATGTGTGTAAGTATTAAAGTCATATCTTCCATGTTTGCAAACCCGAGCCCATAAAATGACAAGCTCGTTTAACAGGGCAAGTCTTTCTCTGTGAAAAACCTGAAGGCTCTTTAGATATGCCAAATTGATTTCTTTGTCTTGAAGCATGAATATCAATTAAGCTGAGGTTATGTCCTAGCTTAAAAGCAGGGTGAGATTTATGTGAACAATCAGTTGCAGTTACAGGGAATTAATTTTCAGTGTATCGTACAGGCATAGGAGTGCATTACTTTCCTTTTATGTCATTTGTTTCCTGATACTGGCACTCTGGAGCAAGGGTATCTCAAGTAAATTTGGTTTCTCATTATACATCCAAATCCCATCAGCACAACTACAGACACCTGGTGAAGGGTCACATTCAGTGCAGGTGACATCATGTTTCAGTGGAGGTACCTCAAGGTTTTGTAGAGGAGCTGCAGCTCCAGGGAGAAGAGCAGATGCTGAGTGGCCAGAATGGGTCTCATTTGTGCTGGAATGGTGGATTTCTCACTTGGCTGGTTTACTGTCATGCCACTCATTATTTCTGCTATTGTTATTTCTCCAGCACTGAGCATAACAGGTACCTTGAAAAAGGACTGTACAGAAAGGGTGAACCGCTGTAAACCCAAATTCTTCACTGAACAAAGCCAGCACACCTCCACCACAGCCATTGCACCTCCACTATGGAACTGCACTGCCAGGAGCAGAGAGGCACAAGGGACAGCAAAGGCTTTCACAGTTTGCATGCTGACGTGACGGAAGACAAATTTAGGATCTAGTCCTAGTTTCTGTGGATCGTGTTTTACAGGAGATAGTAGCTAAAAGAAACCAGGCTGCAGTCTACTGTTTCCACAAGAGACATAGTCATATTTCTTCTAGCCCAAGATGCTTGTATTTTCGACTGCATGATGACCTCTCATCAGCAGAAAGAGTGGAGGGTGATCCTTGCCTCAATCTCTTCCACTATTAGGGCACTCCTGTGGGAAGCAGGAGATGCTGCTCCTCCATTGTGGGAGACGTTTCTGGTTTCTAGGTTGCTCTGCAAGCAGTGGATGAAAGCTGCTGTCTTCTCCTGCCCTCTGTGCTGTCACTCTGTGTTGGGTACACTCACAAACTAAAGACAGGATCCAGTCCCTTGGAGGGCATGGGACTGCCTGATTTTGCATCCAGAGAGGTACAAGTGGGAGACACTGAGCTGAGCAAGATGGTGTCCTAAGACATCAGCCCTTTGGGAGCAGAGAGGCACACTAGGCACATTAGAACATTTTCAGAGCCAGCTTTGGTGTACAGGGGCTCTTACAGTGTCTAAGTGATCAGGTGAATCTTTTGGAGTTAGAGACCAAATAGCATCTAATTGTATTTTAGGAGCTGAATCTTGCCCTGCATCCCCAACAGGTCATGTTCATGGACAGGTAAAGGAAATATCACAATTTGCCCCTACACTGGCTAAGGCGCCATCCGTCATGGGAACTTATCCATCCCATATGTACTGGGAGACCGGTGAAAACCTTGAGTATCTCAGTCTATTGACTGCAGAAGAGTTACTCTGCTCTGTGACACCACATTCGAGCTTGCACAAAATGGGTCTTATACAGCTAGCTAAGAAAAAGGGAAAATGCATTCAAAAGGAGGGGCCGGGTACTGGAGGCCTCTGCTCTGCCAATGGGAGCTGAGCCTGGTGGTGGCTGTGGATGCAGAAGAGGGTGGGAAGAGGGGTTCAGTCTGAAATGTTTTCATGGGGGTTCCCTAGATGTGGGGCACATTATATTGTGGCATGCAAGCCTGACATGGTGCTGGGACCTATCAGCACCTGACCAGCACTGCTGATCTTGGTGCCCAGCAAAAAGTCACTTGCAGATCTGCACATCCATAAATCACTTATGGCCCGACACTCTTGCAACTCTTCCTAGAAAGGTAGGTCTCTGTGATCCAGGGATCCAGTGCCTGGCTCTGGTTCAGCCCAGCTACATAGCCTTGGCTCAGACTACTGAGGAGGATCTGGGAGAAAGTCTATAGAGCAATGACTTATGAGATGAAAAAGGTGAAAATGAAAACAGAGGTAGGATTGCAGAGATGGGGATAGGTAACAACTCAAGAGTTCAAGAGGAAAAACACCAGCATGGGAAGACATAAAGTCCTAGATGGCAACATGGAGAACTCAGCAGCACTGAGGACCTGTCACAAATGCAATAGAAACCATCCCCTCCCCATCTAATGGCTGACTGCCTGGCCAGCAAGGACTCTTCAGGTATCTTATCGGGGACACAGAGCATACTAGTGCTTAGCCTGGTAGTACATTAAATCTCAGCTATCTCTTCTCTGTCAACCAGTAAATAATTGTGTTACACTTCAAAGTCGTGTATATCCTGCTTACAGAATCTCTTTGTGCATAGCAAAAGGTGCCTGAACAAAGTGACCTAGAAAAGGAAGGTTACACCTTCCTCTCTCCAGCATAGAAAGACAGCATGACCAATAGAAGAAAATCCAGTTTCTTTGTTCTTGTTGTCCCTTTTAATCTTCATCTTCTCTGCAACTAATGAAAACAAAACACTTTAATTGTGATTTGTTGGTGTTGGGGGTTACCACAAAGGCATAGGGGCAAAAAATGCAAGGCAGAGTTGTATTTCCACATGTATACAAGTGGAAAGTGATGTTTGTGGTATGTCATGGTGTTGACTTTTTAAGGACAAAAATTAAGATTTTAGTAAGAGGAACAGGACAAAATAACTTTGAAGATGTGGACCATTTAGGCAATGGAAGATGCCAGTCTGCTGGGCTAGAGTATCTATGGTCTCAAAAAGAGAAATCCAGTTAAAGTTTTATGCTCTGTGTTTCAAAGTTTTGAGATCACAGAAAGGTTTCAAAAACAACTCAAAGAAAAAGTGTGATTCATCTTACCTAATATCACAACTTCACAGGCATCTGCATATGATCTAGCCAATATAGGCTTTCCTAACAGTCAAAGTAAATAGCATAGTCCTCTGGGCTTGCCTCCTGATCTCGTCTTGCATCTAATCTAGGCATGCTCATTTCTCTCTGCTGAGTAAAATTGGACCCTGCATTTAGTTAGGTGTCCTTTGTATCTGGCACTAGAAAGGGGCACTGTGCATGAAGGGAGGAGTCACTAAGTGTGTGGCATGAAATCAAAATAAAGAGCACTGGGTCTTGCTGGGGTGGAGTTAGCTTTCTTTACAGCAGCCCTTATGGTACTGTGCTTTGGATTTGTGACAAGAAAAGTGGTGATAACACATGGATATTTTAGTTATTACTAAGGAGTGCTTGCTCAGCATCAAGGTCTTCTCTGTTTCTCACTCTGCCCCCTGTAGCGAGTAGGCTGGGGGTGGGCAAGAGGTTCGGATGGGACACAGCCAGGACAGCTGACACCAACTGATCAAAGGGATATCCCATACCATATAATGTCATGCTCAGCAATAAAACTGGTGGGTAGTCTTTCCAAAGCAGTGTTTGCTTAAAGACCAGTTGGACATCAGTCTGCTGGTGGGAGATGGCAGGTGACTGCATTTGCATCACTTGTTCTTTTTTCTCTCTCTTTCCTTCACTTATTAAACTGTCTTTACCTTGACCCATGAGTTTTTCTCACTATTGCTCCTCCAGTTCTCTCCCCA